TCTACTACGTTGTAAGCAAAAGTTTCCCAGGAGAATGTGTCATTTTGTGCATATAGAAAAATGAACTTGCTACTGTCAGCAAGTACACTCTTAAAAGAACGTTCAATAGCTTGCTATTTATATCAAAATTAAGCTGTCATGCACTAAATTAGACCATATTTGGACAGATTGCTCTTGAGTCTTGACCCTGGCCAGCACCAGGCATTGCCTAAGTATAGTAGCTTTTTTTTTTGGAAGAAATAAAGCTAGACGCATCGTCAGCAGAAATCACAAATTTATTAACTCTTAAATATATCAATCAGTCATTTACCATTATGGCAAGAAATATATACAGTGTCCCATGGTAAACTGCAGTGTTTAAAAATGATTGAAGATAATTAATGTATAATTGTGGTGGAGAGAAAAAAAATCACAATTTCTTCACATCTTAGTGTGGAAGACAAACTTGATCTACGGTATTACTTCAACACCACATGCTAAGTTAATATAGTGTAGAAACAAAACAAAACAAAACAAATAAACAAAAGCAAAAACCACTCTACACCTATTTTTTTGTTTTTGTTTTAAAATACATGTATGCCACGTATAGCTGCTTCACAAAAGGTAAAGGAAATTAAAAATGGGAATAATGAGGCCATTACTTTTTCACAGATCTCATTGGCAGGTTAGCATGGCTCAATACATTTACTGTATATATTTATTTTAAATATATATTGTTTTAAATCGTATAATAATTATCAGAAAAGCTTCAATCCATCTACCGTACATTCACTAGCAACAATATCTATGGTGATTAGTAATTAACACAGAGGTGAAATGAGAGAAAAGAGGGACGGTTGCTTGTTGTTTTCTTTCTGTTGTTTTTTTGCTGCTTTATGAAAAATAGACTTCCAAGGATTCTGAATTACTGTTACTAAAATAATGTTGATGACCATAACAATATCGTGCACTATAAAGCATTTCAGGGAAGAGCAAAAGTCTCCAAGGGGTAGAATGCACAAAGGAGAAATGAAAAGCACAAAGAAATCTGGGACATTTCCCTTTTCTTTTCTTTTTTAAGCTGGAAAATCCTAACTCTTTGCTGGAAGATAATGTCACTCTGATACGAGAAAGAGGCTAAAGAAGCACAAGTCACAGACAACAAGTTGAAACACTTAGGAGAATGGAGAACACATTCTCTAACCTTTGAAAGAAAGCCAGTGATGGTGACAAGGTGGAAGTAAGTGCATTTATGCACAACCTTGATCCACTATCAAATTGGTGTTCTCCCGGCAACTGCCTTAAGTAGGGACTTGCTTGCTTTTATCATAAGTTTTACACTATTCTAATACTTTCAACAGAGTATACCTAAGTTCAAACAAGAGCTTAAGCAGAATTAGAAACCTTTCAAATCTTCTTGAAATATTTTATGGGCCCTGAAAATGATCAAAAGTGCCAGTTTAGCTACCTCCAAAGCACTTTGATTTTAATTTGATGTTTGTTATTAATGCAAAAGCTACTTTTACCTTTTCCTCACATACTACAAGCCAAGGAAAGAAAAAGAAAAGACAGAGAAAAATAAAAAACAATCAAAGGGAACAAAGAAATAGGATAAAATGAAGGAAACAGCACAGATTTGAAAAAGGAACCAAAGTTCAATTCAGCAAAGTCACTGAAACAGTGTGACAGTATCCTAAAATGATCAAACTAGTAAATGAAGTGGAATTTTCCAGTTTTACACAGTTTGATCAAAAACTAAATGGCTTTAGATGTTACAAGCCAACTGATTCTTGCTTTCATAGTCATACATGATTTTATTCACATCATACCTAACCCACTGTAATTGTTGAATAGCAACAAGACTTTCAGTGAAAAGTCATCCATTTCAACACACCAGGAAACTGAAGAAATTTTTTTGTTTTTTGTTTTTTTTTTTACACAAATGAGCCAAAACAGATTAACAGCAGTGTTCTAAAAAATTTTACATTTCTCTTACAAACTGTCATTTAGAGGACAATAATATTTAAGTCTGGTAAATCTTGGCATAAACAGAGAAACTTAATGAATAGGTTGTACTAGGAAGATTGTGGAATTGGTGTGTGTCTGACCTCCCCCATATTGTTGGCCAACAGTAATTTAAGTGTACATGGAACATCTCCATAGTTGAAGTGTAAACGATGAATAAGGAAGGAACATATGACAAGATGATGCGTCAAATATGCATTACATGAAGGACCTTCACAGCTTCATGCATTCAGAAACATGCATGAAGAGGAGCAGAGGGTGGCCCAGGGTTACCATCCAGGTGCCTTGAAAACAGAAAATGCAGAAGTGGCACTGCTGATATTTAGCTGAAAGGAGAAAAAGGAGGCCGAAAAATAAATTACATTGTTTCATAAGTGGTCATCAAATGGCTTTGTCATAATTGTGATTAGGCTATAATTTTACAACTCAGCTAAATAATAGATTGAAAATGCGATGTAAATGAATTCTTGCAGTTATTATGAGAAAATACACAATATTAAACAGGAAATTTAGTATTAATTACTTGTTAATGTGTTCATACAAAGGAAAGCCACAAAGAGGCAGGGACCTCAGCTTCCATAAAATCTAAATCTACCTTTACAGCATTAACATTTACTAGACAAATTAATAAGTCAGTATGATAGCATTGTTGCAGTAGACTCAAAGCTTTAAGTCTATCCTTAAAGCTTTTGTCATTGTTCTTCAACTCTTTGAAAGATCAAACCTGAAAGTCAATTTAATAAGTGATACGGTCTCAAAGGAAAGGAGAACACTATTATTCTTAATTGGAGGTCTCTTTTCCTTAATCCATCAGCTGGGAGCATTATTTCCTAAAATCTCTGACAAGGTTCAGTGCTTTGAAGGGGGAAAATATTCATTAGTAGCACCACACACATCTCTGAATCCCTCTAATCTATGTTTAAATAACAAATCTTAACAAACAATAACATAGGCATGAATCGAATTACAGTCAACATTCAATTATCCTCTAGAATGACCCACTTTGTGAGTTGTAAATTTCAGCTTGACTTTCTCCTGTGATCTGTGCTTCTGGCCAAGTACCATTACACCCAGTCAGGCAGGCGGAGCAAACTCATTTACAGATTAACTTTAGCCAGTTGTATCACAAGAACTGCAACCTCTTCAACAACAGTAGGAAACCAAAGAATCCTAAAGCTTAATATAAATTGTTGTTGTTGTTAAGTGCCGTCAATTCGATTCTAACTCATAAAGATCCTGTATATGGTTTCCGAGGAGCAGCTTGTGAGCTTGAACTGCCGACCTTGCAGTTCAAACGGCTTTGCAGTCTGGCGCATTAACCCACAGCTCCACACAATTAGGCATAGATAATTGAGACGTATCTGAACTGACCCAGACTCAATTTACTTTTGATGCCAGAACGCCAGGATATTCTGAACTGGCACATCCATATGTTAAAGAAAGGATCATCTCAGTGCTTATTACATTCAAATTGAGATTATGTTACAAATTAGTCTCAAAAGCTCATGCATAATTGCTAGTAATTTCCAAAGGCCTTGATTGTTTCTCAATGAATAATAATGCAAGAGAAAAATCTCAAGTGGAAGGAAAACCATGCAGTGTTTCAGTCATTGGCTCCAATCACAAAGTATGGGAGCAGGATGCTACTTACTAGACCCATATGAGAATGCTTTTCAGGTCTTAGATGTTTTGCCACAAAGAGGTGTTTCCTGAGAAGTTTTCTTTCCCATTTGGAATACAGGATGGCCTATTAAGAGAAGCCCCATTTGAGCCACGTGGCATAAAATGAAGTTTTCTTAAATAGGCTCTATTCCACAACAATTGAAGAATCTAACCCTCTAGTACTAAATGAATGTAATCCCTTATGTTAACTGGTAATGTGCGGTATACCTCTTTTTAGAAAACAAACAAACAAACAAACAAACACACACAAAAACAGACACACACACATATCTATATAGATAAATGGATGTTTTCATTATCTGCATATTTCTTCTGATTCTCTCTCTAAGAGAGATTGTTATGAACTTGACTCCTATCTCACCATCCCCAAATTTACTAGGTATTCTTGGTGAGAGAATTTGAAATAAGATCAGCTGTTTGGAATGGGCCAATTTCTTCTGAGTCTCTACTCCCATTCCTTTTCCATGTGATCCCACTTTACTGATGCAACTTTATTTCTCATGATTCCCTTTCCTCCAGCTGGAACCACCATTCTTATCTAGAGTCCTCTATTCTACTAAGCTAAAGTTCTGACATGGTGCTTTTCTTCATGATGCTTCTTATGCTTGAACTACCTTCCCTTTGTTTTTTCTCTCTCTCCAAATTCCACACATCATGTTAGAGCTTGCCCAAAATTCTTCTATCTTCTTCACAAAGGGTATTTTACAACAGTTTGCTACATTTGAAATTCTTTGCACTCTATTCCGAAACTGAACATAAGCTTTATTATATTGCTTGTTTCTCTGGTATTAGTGATTGGATGCTCTCCAAACTAGAATATATGCTCCTTGAGGGCACATTTTTATTTCACACTGTCTTTGGCACAAGTTAGGCATCTAGGAAATGTGCAACAGGTATTTGTCTATGTATTGACTGGGAAAGTAAACACAGAATCTGGAGTAAAGTGGTGTGACATAAAAGACACTGGAATACCAGATTGGTGCTTTTTAAATGCTGCCTTTTAAACATTTTCCCTAATATCTATAACTGAGCCTCAATAAGTAATCTATGAAATGAAGTTCCTAATGTTTTACTGGCCATTTTAGAAATTCCCTCTAGTCTTTCCTGCCACATTTCTTTCCTCTGCGAACAGTGATAATAAAGTCACAAATATTTTACTTTTTAAACAAACCTCTTGATTTAACTCTGAAAAATATCAAGTTGATAGGTCATCCACTAGTTCCCAACTCAAAGTATTGCATATTGCCCTATATCTAGTTTCAGCCCACAAATGCCTGGTATTTGATTGATCTTTCCAGAGAATTGTAAACACCAAGGCATATATCCCCACCAACCTAACTGACCACCCTCATTAAATTCCATGTACCAAACTATAAACAATGAAAAAAAGTAGAAAGAGATGACCATAAATATATTAGCAAAGAAGGTGATAGCTTGGGAATATTTACTTGATGGGTACGGTTGGCGACCCTGAGCGATGAAAATGAACGTTTTGCCACTTTCCATCTCGGCGGTGCCAGACTCGGGTCTCTTCTGACTGCATTGTTTTTGGCATTCCGCTGCCATCCATGTACTGTGTAAGCCTAATGTAAGCTATGCACGCTGCATCATCGCCTACCAGATGTACATGGGGGTTCAGGATAATAGTGTGGATTGGTTTATTGCTTTTGGACAAAGCTGAAAGAGAACAATACGAAAAGCAAAATTTAGTTACTATGCAATAAAGTAAACGAAGACAAAATAACCAGTTGGGAACAATAGCACAATATGATTCATTCATTCGACTACGAATTATTTGCACACCCTGTGTGCCAGGTACTATATGTACAAAGTATAAAGGAGATGAAGAGAAAAAGTGGATGCAGTCATTATTTTCTCTGATTTCATTGGTATGCAATTTGTATGGCACTCTGGGAACTGTCAATGATTGTGGGACAAGCTGGAAAGGCATTTATCCCTAATGGGAAGTGGTTAGAAATAGAAGTCATAATATCAGTAGGGGTGGAGGACGCTTGACCTAGGTGCATGGAACAGTTCCTGTCTTTCCAGTGAATGAACCACTAGGGAATTTGACAGGTATCCTATGGTCTGGTTTTGATGGTTGGTTAGTGAAGTATATATATGGGAAATATAGTATATCAAATACAGCAAAACCTGTGAGAGCTGGAACTTGATGGGACTGCCTTGTTTTCCCAGATCTTACAAGGTTTCTGCCTCTGACAGGGTGCAGTGTTGCCACTTTTCTGTCACTCCTTTAAGTAGAGAATCCATGCCAAGGCAGACATCCTTGATGAAGCTTATATTTATTGAAAGTCAGCCTGATTATGATGACACCAGAGCTATTCCTCTTTAATTCACTGAAATCTCACTGCAAGACGAGTGAATTTTCTGTGTATGATGTAAAAGCAACACAAAGCCTAGTGCTTCTAGGTGTAGGAAAAAAAAGGAGGAAAAAGGGAGTTCTTGGTTTTCACTTTTCTTGATGACCTGGAAGATTTCTGCAGGAGGAGACTTCTTTGGTCATCTTCCTTGAAATGTGTCTCTTTCCTTTGAGCCCCGTAAAATTCGTATAATTCAAACTGCAATATATATCTAATTACTCATTTCTATTTCCATTTTACTTTGAAAATAAGCACCAGATATGTTTGAAAGTAGTTGTCTCTGACGGATATTCTGGCATGCAGTGGTTTCTTTTAATTTTTCATATACAATGTTTTATGAAAAAGTTACATTTTTGGTAACTTGTTTTGTAGCTTAGGTCACAGAATTCGATGGAACTTAAAAAGGGTATATTCAATCAACATCCCATTTTTATGTGAAAGAAGACATTTTCCAAAAGGCCGAAAAAATTAAGTCTGTCATTTTTGTTTCAGATACAAAAAAGAAAAAAAAAAAAATTGTATAAAATGCTGTGCTAAGATACAAATTTTCATTGCAGAAAAGAGCCAAAGGATCTGCAAATTTGGGAGAAATTCAGAGAGAAGTTGGAAAAAGCATGTTACTAAATTTAGAATAAATGTACCATTTTCAAAGTAGAATCGATGAAAGTCCATCCCTTCCACTAAATTACCCAATGCTTCGGGTTCAAAAGCAGTAAGGCCTGGGTCACAGATTTTTCTGTAAAAAGAAAATAAACAAAGTAACCAATAAGTAAATGAGTTAGTAAATTTTTCTGTTTTACATGCATTCATTCTAATTTATCAAATAGTCAAGGAAGGAAAGGGTCTACGTACTAAAAATATAACATTTCTATTATAGGCTTTGGCAGAGTGGAGGAGAAGGGGCTCTAAAAGGCAGTTTGCAGAGACTGTAATACAAGTTCAAGCAGATGATAATCCACAAAGCTTTTAGAATTTCTCCTTATTTATTTGTAATGTGAATTCTCCAGGTTTTCCTAATCTTGACTTCAGTTTATTATTTTCTTTGTCCTGTGCAACAATCATTGGATGTGCAATGAAATATCTGAGGATAGTATGATTAATTGAAGGCAGGTATCATATTCTGCATTCCTGGCAATATTTATGACAATTAATACAAGTTTCAAATGTACACATTAGTATTCTGTTAAAATTCTGTGATATGACTCAACAAAGGAATGTATTATTTTAAATATTAGGAGAAAGCAAATGGGTTTTCTCTGAAGAAATTCAAAGAAATTTATTTAACAAAGCATTGTTAAAAACCTACTATGTAGCCTGTATTCTTTGAAACAAGCATTTATAATACAACAGTTTATATTACAGTAGAAGTAAACACAAAGAGTCTTAAAGCAGATTACTTATATACAGCAAGAATTAAGAAAGAAAGAAAATTTGAGTTGGATGTCTATGTATGAGGAGAAGTTTTCAAAATCAAGGAAGATAGTGGGCAGGAAATGAGTAACAGTGTAATGGTATGTTATTGCTAGCTGGGGAGTCCTGGTGTGGTGCTATAGGTTAATGCCTGGTCTGCAAAGTCAGTTTGAACTGTAAGGTCAGTAATTCAAGCTCACCAGATGCTCTTCAGAAACCCTATACAAGGTCACAATGGGTTAGAAGTGCCTTACAACACTGTTAGTTGGGAAGTGTGGTAGCGTCATAGGATAAGCACTGGACTGCGAACTGACACCCAAGGTTGGTGATTTGAGTACACCAGTCACTTTGCTGGAAGAAAGATGAGGGTTTCTGCTTCTGCAAGTATTTTAAACACCAAAGAAACTCTACACAGGATCATTATGAATTGGAACTGAATCGATGGCACATAGTATTTTTAGTGGAGTCCACTAGGCCCCTGACTTATGGAGGTCTTGTGCACAAAGAAATTACATGCTGCCATTTCCATGATCATTTGTGGATCGGATTGTTGAGATCCATAAGGTTTTCAATGGCTGATTTTTCAGAGGCTGATTACCTGACCTTTTTGCCTACTCTGTTTTGGACTGGAAATGATGCTGAAGTCTGCTCAGCACCACGGCAATATACCAGAGCCCACTGAAAAACAGTAATGGCTGCACAAGAAATTCACTGGTCAGGAGGAATCAAACCACGGTCACCCACGTGAAATGAAAGAATTCTACCTCAGAACCCCCACTAATCCCACTTCCTCTTCCCCCAACTTCCATACAAATACAGGGAAGCGTATTTCCTTTGGCCTGCGGAAATGAGAGAAGGCTTCTCTCAGGGAAAGTGACATAAAATTTGACTTGAAGAATCAGTAGGAGTTCACAAGGTAGTTAACAAGGAGCAAGTGAAAAGAATTTTGGGCTGTATTTATCTGGTTTAACGTGTAATACAGTGAGTGGAGCTGCATCTAATTTCATATGGAAATACCCATTTGGAAGGCAAAAATCTCTTAACTCTGCAACAAAAGTACAAGTTTGAAAAGGCTAATTCATTATGATTTTTCAAAATGCAGTACTGTTTACAGAATGTAGGACTAGTGCTTTTTAGAGAATGCACAGAGTGTAGAATACACAGAAAATCACAGTGGTTATTCATTATGGGACAGAAAGTACAGGTAAAAGGCATACAGAGGGAGGGAGTGGATTATAAACTTTGCCTCAGACTTCCTGGTGGGCAGATATTTTTAAACTTAAACATAAATACATATAATCTTTTTCTAAGGAGGAAACCGGGAAGAACAGTGTTCCTGTGGTAACAGCAATTTATTCTGCCAGGGCTATTATTTCCGCTAGAAATAATGGTTTTTGGTTGTCAACTTCAGTGAGCCATAATTTCATACTACCTTATATCAACACTGAGATCATCTCGGAATCACTGTAGTAAGATGGATCTTGTTATACAACCAACAGAAAAGTCAATATACGTCATATGTGGAAACCTGTTAATCTGTTGATTCTCTCTGTGTGGCTCTCCTTTTTTCGGTCTCTGTGTTTGTCTGCCTTATAATTTTATTTGGATTAATAAAACATTCAGAAAACTGCCACTTTGGACGTGGAAGTGCGTAATCTGAACAGGTGTTCTAAGGACCAGGTGACAAAGCTATACGAGCACACTCTACTACCCAAAAACTCCTAAATGGAAGGCCCTGTTGGATTATTCTTGGATCTGAAAGTACAAAACCAGGCCAGATTATAGCCCTCCATAGGGGAAGGAATTATTACACTGATATGATTCCAAAGACTAGCTTTATTTAATAGACCCCACCTTTAAGTTGCCTGAAAATATAGAAAACGCCCCACTTTTCCCTATGTGCAACTGTTCTTCTGTACTGAACTGAAAACAATGGCAATAAAAAACAAAACAAAACAAAAATAACTAGAGAAAAACACATTTTCTATCATTCTGCAGGGAAATGCTACTGCCAAAAGACATTGAAGGAACTCTGGTAGCGTAGTGGTTAAGAATCGGGCTGTGAACCGCAAGGTCCGCAGTTCGAAATTACCAGCGGTTACGCGGGAGAAAGATGAGGCGTTCTGCTCCCGTATAGATTTACAGCCTCGGAAACCCTGTGCAGGGTCGCTATGAGTCGGAACCGACTCCACGGCACTTAACAACAACAATCTAATGCTTTGGAGAATCAAGTAAGTCTAATAAGGTTATTTCAGCAGAAAGAAGAAAAAGGTGCCGGTTCTACGGCACAGATCTAAATAATGGTTTTAAAGAGAACTGTTGCCTTTGACTACAATGTTGTTTTAAGCTACATTTCTTACTATCTCATTCCAAGTTATTAGGTTGTATTAAAAACAAACAAACATATAAGCATATGTGCATATACATAGAGTTCTGATGTGATGCTGTAAAATAAGAACTGGACTGCTAACTGCAGGGTCACAGGTTCAAACCCACCAGCCACTCTTCAGAAACCCTATAAAGCATTGCTATGAGTCATAGCAACAACTTGTATATACACACACATTTAAATTTATAAGAAGTAGTCTTGGATTTAATTTAGTTTTAAATTTAGGTTTATTTTTGTTGTTAAGTGCTGTTATGTAGGTTTCCAAAGGGCAGCTGATGAGTTTGAACCACCAACTTTGCAGTTCAAACGGACCTTGCAGCCAAGTGCTTATCCTACAGCATCAGAACAGGACTCTCTCTTACATTTAGGTGCGCTCTCCTATATTTTATAAGTGGTGATTTACCACTAGTGATAGAAGTATTACCAGCCAATTATCTAATACTTGGAAAGAATACTAGAGAAACAGGAAAAAAGAACCCTCAAATAACTTCACAATTTCACCTTCCAAAGACAATCTCTCTCTTTATTATTTCTTTTTAAATGTCAAAACCATCTTTTATCCCATTTGCAATGCTTTTTTTTTCTTATGCAGTTCAATAATTACATATATATTCCATTTTATATCCTGATAGATTTTAGGTAAATACATCATAAACATTTTCCTAGAGCACTAGAAAGTCTGTATAACATCCATTGTACCAAAGGTGCCCAAAATTACTTAACTGCTACATCATAAATATATGTGCTACATCATAAAAATAAAGTTGAACACACAGGTTTAGCCTCCATTTCCCACTATCATGAGTAAACAGCTTTGGTTACAACGCTATTCATGTTTTAGGACCATGAACCTATGATAAATTCTTATTGGCAGAATTATATTGTGGTTGTTTGCTGTCACGTCAGGTTTGACTCACAGTGACCCTGTATAGGGTTTCTGAGGCTTTAAATCTTTGCAGGAGAAGAAAGCCTAATCTCTCTCCCAGGGAGAGAAAGTTTGGTGGGCTCAAACTGCTGACCTTATCATTCACAGTCCAGTGCTTATCCTACGGATCCACTGAGGTAGTTCAATTATTTTATCTTGTTTATTTGTGATTACTTCCTCTGCTGCTAAATTTAGAAAGACCCCTACAAACAAAGAGTAAATCCAAATTTCCTTTTTTACTTTTATCATTTGTATGGAAGTCACTTAAATGTACAATGCAAAGGGAAGGTTTAGAGTGACTTCTATCCCCAAAGAGCTAATTTCCTAACCAATATCCTTTGTGCAATAAGCCTTCATACCCTATTTGAGGGCATTAATTATACTTGAGCAAAGTAGTTTCATTTAGATATCTTTTGACCCAGCATTTTATCAACTTTAAATTAAGCATCATAGTCTCATCTTCAAATGAAAATTTACCCCAAAGACAATATGTAAAAGAGATGATAATAAATAAAGATAATATTGTACTGGTTGAAGAAAGAGAGGACTGCCTAATATCCCTCCCTAATTACCTTTCCAAGTGGCAGCATCAATGGACTCAAGTGTGGCAACAGTAGTGAGGTTGGCCCAGGATTGGGCAGTGTTTTGGTCTGCTGTGAGTCACTATGAGTCAGTACTGACTCGATGGCACCTAACAACAACAATAACAATTTCCTTTCTCTGTCTCAGCACCTAGGCAGAAATGTGAGGAAAAACATTTCTTAAGCTAAACTGCAGTTTCGTGTGCTCTCTTGTTTTTGTGTCTCTGTTCACATGGGTTACTCTGACTGGAATTATTTTCCTTAATATGTGTATAGAGAGAATGGTCATTATTCTTCTGGGCATTTACAGAGATAGCACCAATCCATGAATCAGAAACAAGGTCTCTTTCTCTGACATCTCAAATAAATGTATTTCTCTCCTGGGGGACATCTAGTCATTTATATATTGAAATAAACCCATTGTGGACACATCAAGCCTGAGATTACATATGCACTTATATAGAAAAATACATCTGTCACATTCATCAAAGCAAAATAAATGTGCCTGTACTCACGTGTAAGCTTCAAAGTCCCCATTGTTGATTGCTTCAATCAATTGTTCAGTGACTTTGATGATCTCTTGCTTTCGTGCTAAAGGCAAGGAGATAAAATTGGGTGAGAATAAAGGACAAAAGCCATTTTAAATATTATTCTAACAATATTCTTAATTTATCTGAATATGCTATTACAGGTGTTAAGTGAGATGTTATTCTTATCACAATTTTGCTGTTCGAGGTGCACAAACCAGCAGCATCAACCCCTTCTGGCAGTCTGTTAGAAACACAGATCCTAACACACACTCCAAACTCTGATTAAGAATCCACCTTTTAAATGGATCCTTAAGAGATTCTTGGACACATTCATGTTTGGGAAATACTGCTACATCACTGATCACTGGGGTTCTTTTACAAATGTTTCCATTTGTTAGAAAATAACCATTGTCTGCAAGATCAGGGCTATGTTTTCTGAATTAATTCTTAACTAACCTTATTAACTTGCCTGAGATTGTGACCTTCCCCCCCCCCCCCCATCAACAGATGTGCTATTACAAAAGAAAATCTTAAAAAGTTTCTTCTGTCTACATTATACTTTTTATGTATTGTTGTTGTTAAGTGCCTTTGAGTCAGTTCCAACTCATAGCAACCCTATATAGGGTTTTTGAGGAGCAGCTGGTGAGCTTGAACTGCTGACCTTACAGTTTAAACCAATTTTGTAGTCCAGTGCATTAAGCCATAGTACCACACCAGGTCTCTTTTTTATGTATGATATATATAAATATGTTGATGTTATAGTGCCATCGAGTCTTGCACAGTTTCCCAGGAGTGACTGGTGGGTTTGAAATGCCAACCTTGAGGTCCATTGCTGATTCTGCAGTGCCAAACCAGGACTATATATGAATATAAGTATATATATTTGTTGTTAAGTGCTGACAAGTCAGTTCGGACTCATGTTGTTATTGTTGTTATGTGCCGTGGAGTCGGTTCCGACTCATAGCGACCCTGATCAGGGTTTCCGAGGCTGTAAATCTTTACGGGAGCAGAAAGCCTCATCTTTCTCTCACGGAACAGTTGGTAGTTTTGAACTGGCGACCCTGAGGTTAGCAGCCCGATTCGGATCAGACTCATAGTGACCCTGTACAGGGTTTCCGAGGCTGTAAATCTTTACAGGAGCAGAAAGCCTCATCCTTCTGCGAAGCCGCTGGTAGTTTCGAATTGCTGATATTAAGGTTCGGAGCCTGATTCATAACCAAATACAAGTCTTAGACTAACCAATAAAATATGTTGTTGTTGTTAAGTGCCATCAAGTCAGTATCGACTCATAGCGACCCTATGCACAAGAGAACAAAACCAGCGACTTTGTGGTTCAAACTGACTTTGCAGTCCAGTACATAAACTCACAGCACCATACCAGGAAGCTAGAAAACCTGCTTTATGTTATTTTATATAAATAAAAGGTAATCATGTAACTAAATACAAATTTGAATGTATATGTTAATTTCCTTCCTTTATAACAACCCCTTTATAGCAAAATTTAATAGTGATTATATTTTTTTGGTTCCACCACTCGTCTGTCAGTTTGTCGTACTGCGGTGGTAGGTCAGTTGCTGTGATTCCAGAAGCTATGCCACCGGTATTTTAAATAACAGCAGGGTCATCCTTGGTCGACAGGTTTCAGATGAGCTTACAGACGAAGACAGACTAGGACAACTATACACATGGACCTCACCAGATGGAATACATAGAAATCAAATTGACTACATTTGTGGAAAGAGACAATGGAAAAGCTCTATATCATCAGTCAAAACAAGGCCAGGGTCA